TTTTTCAGGCAACACATACGTGTGGATTGGACTATTCACCAAAATCGTTTTGCCGCCGTTCATTTCACTATTATCCTATTTTTTTTCGTAAAGCGTCAATGTGTTTTTTTATTTTTTGAGTAAGTATGTCAAATGTACGAGGAACATTGTACTAAAATTTCAAAATGTTTTGCCGACCAATTTTTTTATTGACGTTTTACGAAAAAAAAAAATAGGAAAGCGACGAAACGAACGCAATTGAAGGGAAAATCAGGAATTAGGTGCGTAATTGCCGTTTTTGGTATTTTTAACCTGGGCCAACAACTGGGCGGTTCTAAGGGGGCTTAACAAGCAGCAAACCTCCGGCAATATCATCCCCGAGTACGGGGTCAGAGTCTTCAATTTGTTCATCATCATGAGCCCGTACTTAGGGTTCTGACAGAACATGGCACCTCTAACTGCAATGTCTACTACGTTTTCGGGATCATACGAATGCAACCGTTGCACCACGCTGGATAAGGCGGCTGCGACCAGGTGAGCGGACCGTTTGGTGATGGACTCGCACGCGTACCGGAACAGAGCACAGTCCATGTCCGACGGATTGAGGATGCCCAGTACACCGGACAGAACTTGGCGGACGTGCTTGTACGATCCCCGAGGATCCGACTCCACGCGTACCAGATGTTCGGCGTCCAGCACGTACTCGGTGTTCATGTCCTGGGTGACGAGTCCTTGGAACAGTATCATATTTTTCGCCAAGGACACGATAAACAGCCGGACCAGTTCGCCCATGTACATACCTTCAAACATGCGAAATGGATGGTTCCTATATGTACGTCTATGACGTCACAAAACTCACCCGAGGTCAATTTTTCGAAAATCTGTTTCCCGGGTTGCAGCGACACGACGTCCATGTGCCGGTCTAACGCGTTCCTCACATCGTCGAGCTCACCGTTCTCGCCGAACGCGCCCCACTCGGTGTTGACAACGGTGTTGATGGCGGCCGCATCCTTTCCTTCAATCCGGCGGTCGCGAACGTTGGCTACCCGATCCACAAAACAGCAATTGCAGCCCTCGTCCACCACGAGGCCGACCCGGGCATTCGGGAAAGCGACCTGCATGTCGATGAGACTGGAAGTTACGTCATTGATCACGGCCACGTGGCCCATATTCACATTGAGCCGGGCTAGCGAGTCGCGTATCCCGTCCACCACGTTCGTGGATACGAGTTCCGTCCGGTAGTTGAACTCCTTGGTCCATCGGTACAAGATTCCTTGGCCTAGCGACGTCTGCTGCACAGGGAACCCGAACGTGAACTCCAACGGCATGTCCGTGGTTTCCACCTTGTGCGCCGTCGTGAATTCGGCCAGCTGTTCTGCCGCCTGGTCGAACAGCTGGCGACCGCTGCCGGTCTTCATTTTCGGGTAATGGCGTTCCAAGTATTTGATGTTGATCCTGTCTCGCGGCGAAATGGTCGTGTGCCTCACCATGATGCGCGTGGCGTGCGACATGTTTAGGCTGAGAAACTCTCTTAACGGTGATACCGGTGTGTCGAACGCACAGGGTGCAGGAAATGACCCGGTGGCGGGGGTCGGATAATCGATGTATGTATCCCAGCATTTCACCGACGAGGCCGACTGCGTGGATTTTCCCAGGCCCTTGTTCACGGCCTCCGTCATCCGGCGCTGGACGTCCAACAGTTGATCGTCCGACACCTCGAACTTACGACCGATCTCCTCCGCGCACAGCCGTTTGTAGAACATCTCGCCGTAACCCGAAATTCTCCGTGCCGGCGGCCGTAAGAACCCTTGTCGTTGGACTCGGTCGATCAAACGTAAACGGTTTCTGAGTACAGCCGCGCTGGTGAACGTCGACATCTTGGACGCGATCAAACGGAAACATCCCATTGCCCACATACTGCTATGGTATAAAATTCGTAAATAAGTGTTAACGAGTGAATTTATGCGGTTCTACGGTTAAAATGTATATTATATGCAGTGTTCGATTTGTGGGGGAGGGGGGTCGCGAGCGGTGTTTTTTGAACTATAACCAGCGATCGTCCTTAAATTTTTTTTCCGATTTGAGGAATGGCTATTTGACAGTCGTTGATTCGAAATGTTGACTGTTGGTTTTTTTTTCTAACAACAAATGTGTATATATATATGTTACCATGATGACTGTCCATCGTGATTTCCGATGTTTGTTTATTTTTAACCCAAACATGATCGCACACCCAAACGCCAAAGAGCATGTACGTAGTATAAGTAATAAACAGAATAATCGTAAAACATTTAATAATTCAGTGGGTTGACTGAGAATTCGTTGCAGGGTATAAGTAGTTGAAAAAGTATCATCGCACCCAGGGCTCTTGTGGGTATTTCAAATTTAGGTCCCTATTTTTTCTTTCCAACTGTTGCCGCCTTAATATAATATAACATCGGTCGCAAAGCAGCAGCCGATCGACACACACACACACACACAAACACACACACACACACACACACACACACACACACACACACACACACA